ATATATATATATATATATATATATATATATTATATATATTATATATATATATTATATATATATATATATTATATATATATATATTATATATATATTATATATGTGTGTGTGAATATAGCTAATTACTGAATATAAAAGGATTACATTCAATTTTATTAACTCTTTTTAAATATTAAATGATTTAACACCCTCTTTTTTCTTTCAGTTCCTAGAAGGCGAGCGTGGAAGGCGAGCGTGGAAGGCGAGCGTGGAAGGCGAGCGTGGAAGGCGAGCGTGGAAGGCGGGCGTGGAAGGCGGGCGTGGAAGGCGGGCGAGGAAGGCGTGCTTGGAGGCGAGGCTTCGAAGCGTGGAAACAAAACCATGGGGCGTCCACTCACTTGGCCTGCTGTCGCCGCGGCGTGAGCGGGGAGCCCTCGCTGATCTGGCCGAACTGCAGCGTGGCGGTGCCGTTGACCTTGCACGTGTCCACGCGCTTGCGCGGCGGGTCGCTCGACTCGGAGCGCACGCGCACGATCACCTCGGTGTCGTCCTCGAAGGCCGGCCGCCGCCGCTTGCGCTCCAGCAGCAGGAAGTAGATCACCTTCTCCGTGTTGTGGCTGCGCAGGCAAGCGTTCCATTCAATTGAATTAATGCCTTATTTTACGTGGCGAGACTCGGGCCATCAGGCCCGCTCTTCCGTCTGACCCCGCAAATTACGCTATGCTCCTTTCATCAACTAGCAGAGAAAGGAGGTATTCCTTGGGCGACGAAACAGACGATTTTAAATTTAGCTCAGAGACGTCATTTAGGCTTGAGGATCTTTTACATGCTAATAAATCTTCTAACATGGGATAGCCCCTCCGAAGAAAGGCGTATGAAGGATTTTTTCGCCCTTAAAAATCCACGGGTTTGAACCCGCCAACTTGGGTATACCAATCAAATAAGATAACCGTTACACCATCGCCGCCGCCGTTGGCACGCAGGGTCAGTCAGGGACCACAGGGAACCCTCAAGCTTATCGAACCTTTACCCTAACTGATACTCGCGCAACTTTTCTTGAACGATGGACTGAAGTAATGCGGGTAGAGTGGTGGGTATTAGTTACGAAATCGGCCACTAGAGGTTATGAAGCAATGCCAATCTCTGGAGAATCAGTCATACCTTCGCAACGTTCTCAATAATTTGCGTTCCAACTTTATCAGTAGTTCGAGGTATCTCCTGTGATAGATCTTTATCTGATTCGGTCATTTCCTTTTTGAGAAAATAACGGACAGCAATGCACGTCATCAAAAAAAATTGTTCCTACTTCGCGCCAGTGAAGATGTGTTTGGAATGTCATCAGTGCTCGCTGCGAGCTTTTGCCTTCATTTGTTTAATGTACCAGAAATGAGTAAACAAGGTCGTTGTTCAAGAAAGGTTGCGCGAGTAATACCTGCTACTGCAAATGCGGCCCGTTGGATCGAATAAAAGTTGATAGATTTTTTTACGAAAATACAGGAAGGATTATTACCTTCGAAATGTCCTTTTTCTCAGTTTCTCATCATTATTCGGAACCCTGCTGACGCTTTATGGTAAAAGACCTTTCATTAAATCAATAATCGTTCTGTCGTGATTACTGGACTCATCAAAGGCAAATGCAGATTTAAAACGCATTCTGCGTGTTAAATCCTATATTTCTAGTAATATCTGTTGATTTTGTGCAACATGGTAATTTGAAAACTGAAAATGGAAAGATAAAACATATGTTTATAATGTTTTAAGTTCACTTTGGCGAATTTGAAAAACATGATATAGAGGAAAAACTACACTCCAGATACACTCCACAATGTGGTTGATGCAATTTTTTTTTACATTAAGAGATGTGGTGCAACTTGACATTAGCTGCTGTATAAACAGTGCTATCAACAACAATATTCATAACATATTTAATAATTAATACTTCTAAAAGCTATTTTTGATAATTTACATTTATAGACCTACAGTAATTTAATGTTACTCGTCCAGTTACTCAAAATAACGGAAAGACAAAAGCTGCTATAATCGCGAAGACTTAAACGATGAATTTCATAAATGTCTCAATAAAACATTTATGTCATCAACCCATTTAATTTCTTTTGAAAATAGATGTGCTTATTTTAATCGTACGACTCCGGGAGAGAACAATGACCATTTTAAAGATATTTAAAAAAAATTAAAATAATTCTTCTCAAAAATAATTTCCTAGGGCAAATAATATATTTGAAAAACTAAAAGAAGTCATGAAAACTGAATTACTACAAAAAATACTTAGTCATATTGAATAGCAGTAAATCACTTACGGTAGTTTCACAAAAAATATTTGTACAACGAAAACGATATTTTTTACGTTTTAGAGCAAAAACATCAACCGGCGTAAATTAAAATGTAAGGTTGCAGAATAAAGATGTTATTGATATATCTGATTGAACAAAAATCTTCCCTACACATTTTCGACAATTCTCACGCCGCGCAGTTCAGTGAATGAGTATTTCACGTTTCTAGGGGTCGTAACTCATTTGGTCATTGGTCCCGTGAATGTAGTGCACGTCAATTAGGAAGGGGGAGGTATTTTTCCCCGTGGGAATGTGAGATCTGGGGCCGACCTACACGTCACCTTGCGGGTTTCCCCCCTCCAAGTATTCCCACCCAACGGGCTTTCGTCCGTGTCGGGGTAAGTCGTCAACTCCCTAATGGTCTCAGATACGTGAGGAAGAGTATACAGTGTCTGAATTCGTTTCAGTTACAAAACTAGTGCATGAAATCCTTCACTGCCCGGACTCGTAGCGTAGAACCTGTAGGTCAGCGAAGCTGTAGCGACATCATTTGTTACTTCGAGCCGCCCCACCGGTCCGGGAAGTTCAGGTGAGTCGAAAGAAGAAAGAAAAAAAAAGAATAAAGAAAAGCCGGTGAATATGATGCGCGAGGGCAGATTCGGAGAAGCCTCGAGCGGGGTGCGGAGCGGGGAGCCGTTCAGCGCCGACCGGGGACGCGTCATCCTATTTGCATGAGGCGGCGCGAGCGCTCCTGCGAGAGACTAAAGCTCTTAAGCGCGCGGCGCTCCTCACGTGCCCCGCCCGACTCTTCAAAGAACTGCAGCTGCACCGCGTGGGCGACAGAGTGCGCTGCGCTCGCAGGTGGTGGACTGGCAAGGCATTGCTTCGCGTGCGGGCGGGGAATTTTCGTGGAATGAAAATGCGAATAATTAGGAATGAAAGACTGCTTTTAAAAACTTCTAAAATCGTCTCAGTGTCGGATTCTAGGCTTAAAAATATGAAATTTTCTAATATTCACTTAATTGTTTAGTTAATTTAAATTATTAAGTTTTTTCAAAATATTTCTGTATTGCAGAAGTTAACTCATATAAATGCAGATTCAGCTTATGACTACTAATGACATGAACTACACTTGCCTGAACTACATATTTAATAAATAAATGATTAAACAAATTTACAAATTCATATCCTTACATTTAAACGAGAACGTGTTAATTACATTCACAAAATTAAACATTAGGTCACCAAGAAACGACTTCGAAACATGTAATGGGAAATACTCTTATTACCTGTTATTCGCAGTAGCTAATTAATTTAATTTTGTTTTAAGGACCGAATGTTTCGTTATATGTGTGTGATGGTTTAGAAGAAAATAAATGATGTTAATTAATATGACAATAATGGTGTTCATAACAACTTTGTATACCTTAAATTAGTGCATATATACATATAACAAGCAATATGGAACAAGGCGAAGCGTTTTGTTTTTCGTACGTTTTTCTTAAGAAATTGAAAACAAATTTAACATTTTATTGAACAGGAAATCAATTTTTTTCCCTCTACTATAAATGCATAAACTAATTCAAATAAGTTATGCACTTGGAATGAAAATAACGTTTAAATAAAGTTACAAAATTCATAGTACATTTTAAGCGATTTCAAGAATTACGAACTGTAAGGACGAACAATAGTTGTGGAACTTAGAAGTGAAAGTTAATTTATACAGCTGCCTTTAATTTTTTGTAAGACATTTGTCATTTAGTAAAGTGTTAATTTTTTGACTTGGCACAATAATTTTATTGGAACGTAAAATGCACATTGGTTTGTATCTAAAATAAATTTAGTAACAGAACCTCCGAAAACTCGAAACGTATATTTTTTTCATTTAATATTTATAGCGCTTAAAATAGTTTCTTGGGTAAATAACTTCTGTGAGCGTACTCAGAATCAACGTTTGTATAAAGGTGAGAATAAGCAATGACCAAATGGGATAAAAATTCAACGTGTTACACGTAGATTTATTCCCAGACATTTCATGACTTTAATAGACCGTTTTAGCAGGAGCAGCGCAATATTAAAAATGAATGGGTTCTAAAAATTCTGTGATAAGGAAAACAGGGTTCAAGATTTATTCTCATTTTCGAGGAAAGCGTAAGCAACATATTCATGTTTATGAATCCGCTTGCTCTTGAAGAATATGTTTATGAAAGGAGAGTAACACCACATGTACAACGTTGACTTTAGCTCTTTTTACTTTTGCTAATAGCCGTGACGTTGTTATAAATCTGCAGCATTATTTTGAAACCACATTCAACGTTTCTGGCAAATGTTTTTTATGAGTTTATTATTACCATACGTCTTCTAAATATTCAAACATAATTAAGAAAAAATAAGATCGTCGAAATTGTCCCATTGTTTCTGACTTTTAATTATCTATTTCGATTTACAAAACATATACGACGAAATGGACATGAGCAATAAAATATTTGCATTATTACCGTTTGTAAAAAAACTAGAAGTAAGGATATTTTAACGGCGAAAGATGCTGAATTATTAAATTAGTATCGTATTGCTTTAAAAATCTGCTGTGGATTATTTGTAGAACATATACGATCCTTTCCCCACTAATATATTGGGTGTTTTTGACATAACTTACCAAAAGTAAATAGGCATTGGCATCACAGTTATTTAGTTTTGTTAGAGAGTTACGTATCTGCGAAATCAGTTGAAAGAGACGGAAAAAAATACGGACGATACAGGAATGCTAGGCAACCAACAAAACAAGTCGTTAAAGAAAACAAGATGATATGCACCTACTTTGGGTATCATTTTCAGTAACCTTGTGAAGAACTCATTATTGTACGAAATTGAGAGCAAGGCTTAACAAAGAGGCGTAGCAATTACCTATTCTTATGTGCTGAGACAATATTCGAGACCAAGTATTGTCTTGTCAGTGTTCAAAATTTAAATTTCTCTCGTTCCGTCTCAATAAGACCTCATAAAACTGTTGAAACTTGATCCTATGGCAAGTGGTATGTTCTTTGTTTGGGATTGTCAAATTACCTTCCAAGCATCCAGAACATTTTTAACCATCCAGTGGTTCGAAGTGTATTCTAATTTGAGCTCTCATTCATATCCTGACACCTGTACCGATCTTCTGTGACGCAAGTGGAACACAAATGTGCTACTCTCCGATTTAAACATAGTGGCACTTCAAAGCCACAAACTGTTCGGAGAGAGGGGACACTGACAACCAATTGGTAGCTTCTTTACGACTTAAATTTTTGGTTTAGGAGCTTCCAATTGGACGACAATGTCCCCCTCCTTTCAGCTCATGACTTTGAAGTGCCACTGTGTTGAGGCTGCGTAATATTGATTAGATGTTTGGGAGAGCATTTGCAGAAACCGCGAGGAGAGAAGATTTGTGCATCGCCGTGCTGTGTTTTCATCATTCTCACAAAAACAACACATAATTGACAAGGGTTATTACTTTGCGGTAAGAGTATTGAAAAGTATTGAAAAGATTGTCATGTCTGTCAGGACGAAAATAAACGTTCGCCTTACGAATTTCACGTCATTCATGTTTTCTGTCTCTGAGCGCTTGCTTCTCGAAGACTACATGATAATTGCTTGTCAACGTTCCGAACCAAAGTTTCCATGCACCCAATTTTTTTGAAAATGGTGAGGCGGAAGAGCAGGCTAAATGGCCTGAGCCTCGCCATCAATAAAGACAATACACGTATTTGTTATCTTCTCTGTACGATTACTACGAAACTGCTCATCACTCCAGATTCCCAAAAAATACGATCTCGTCGCGTCTTATGTGGAATAAATTGGATTCCGGGAAATCTCTGACAATGTGTGACTTTTCGTCGTGGCCACCCAGGGGATGATGTGATCTATTGGAAACGTTTGAAAGCAGTTGAAGGCCATCCCAAAGAACTTCATACAAAATTATTTTTTGGGGGTATTGTGAGAGAATTCACGGTTTTTTGGGCAAAATGAAAACTCGGGAAATTTGAAATGTATCATATTTGCTTCCTAAAACCCTTCAAAGAGTAGCGAAACTGAATATGCTCGAAGCGTGGCGCCAATTTTGAATTAATTGGGCCGCCCGTGTGCCAACACAGTGCGTTTAAATCGTAGTATACGAGCGAGGGGGACTCACTTGGGGGAGAGCAGCTCCTGGATGAGGCGGTCGCGGTCCTTGAAGCAGCCCAGGGAGGAGATGGCCTGCAGCACGTCGGGGTCCATGGCCTCCAGCGAGGGCAGCACGTGCGTCTGCACCACCTCCATCATGGGCAGCTCCAGCTCCAGCTCGCCCTTGCCGCCCGCCGTCACCCACGGGTGCCGGTTGATGTCCGCCAGCTGCGCACAGCACAACACCCGCAAACTCTTACAAAGAAGGACATGAAAGCTTAGGAGACGGCAACAATTTGTGATATTCGCGGCCGATACAAAGAAGCTTTGAACCATCTGAATAAGTTTACTTTATTTCTGTCATGACATCACAGAAATGTTATTGCAAAATAGTTATTTAAGTACCAAGGGTGTTCTAAGGATTCTAATGATCGAAAGGCGACAGAAGCCCGAGAACCTTTGGACCGCTCCATCATTAGAATACGTTAACGCCCGTAATACAATCAAAATTGTTTTTCCCAATTTTAATGATTGAGATTTACTTATTTACTAATTGAACATAATATGTTAATTTGATTCGGTTCGTCTTCTCATATTTTTTTACATTTTTCCCTTTTGTATATCCTTCTCAGAATTTCCTTCATAAGAGAACATGTAGAATGTAAATTCAACTGTTCATATTTTCCTCGTAACCACAATTCTCTAGAACCAAGTAAGTTACGCAGGTATGTCATGGTCCACACCCAAGGCAATAACAAGCAACAATGTATCACTAAAAATAAATATATTTTTACTTGTAATAAGTACATGTACATTTCTTATACTTAATAGGGGGAGAGGAGGGGAGAGGGAGATGGAAGGGGAGTAGGTGGGGTGGTGAGGAGAGGGGGGAGGGGGAGAGGGGGTGTTTGCATTTCTGCAAGAGGCGTAAAGTAGGAAAGAAAGAAGGGAATTCCGACTTCGGACGATGGGTTCAATCTAACAAAAGGAACGTGGCATGCAGGCCACTGCAGCTGGCGCCCTCGAGGAATTTTGCCCGAATTCTTCCGTTTGAAGGGCCCTGTTTTACAGCCAAATTATTATCAGCCGTCTAATCTAGTGATTTCAAGGTCTCCGACTAGTGGCAGCGGCACGCTACATGGCACCGTGGCATGCCAAGAGCTTCCCAGCGTAATTAACGTCGGGAAAGGAAGCTATCAGATAATAACCCCCGCCCACCACCCAGTTTTTTGAGAGTTATGGCTTAATAGTAAAAAATATAAATTAATACTTACAACAAATGTTCTTAAATTTATTTATCTAAATCCTGGATAATCGTATTTCATGTGTAAAACGTAAAAGAGTTCAGAGCGACTTCGACTAACTACTGCTCTCTTGTGGCTGGCTGAAACCATCTGCGTGGAGGGTAGATTCGATCGTGATACTCGTGTCACGGACTCCTAAAGGCATCTACCGTGACATCACTGATCTAACCCTTTTCTACCTAGTGTGCCCTTATGGGCACGCTGTAGATAATTCAAGATTTCCTCTTAAAATGTTGCAGTTAAGCAATTAGAACATGTTGATTTCCATAACATCCTAATCGGTGTTCTCATGTGCATTTCAAAATTTTGAGAGACAATTTTTTTTTAAATTATACAATGGTGTAATTAATTTACGAAAAATATTCAGGCTAAGGACTAATCCTACACCGCAAGCACAAGCGCTACTGGGGAGTAAGCAGATCATTACTTTTGAAAAACACGTGAGGCACTGATAGCCATAGGGAGTCGATGTTTTTAGTTTTACAGATACATTCTCTGTTTTATTGTTTTTTTGTGACGTAAGCCGAGCACACATTTACTTGCCAGCAAACATTTTTCTGACCCTACTTTTGTCCTCTAGATGCTGTGTTGTTTTCTGTGATTACGTAATTATGTTGATTTCCGTAACCTGGCGACACTTTCGTAAGATATTGTGCTGAAGAGAACCAAGGTACATATTTTTCTCCATCAATTTCTCTTTTCATTAACTTCATAATTTCTTTTACATTTATTCTCTATTAAATTGGAATGGTTATTGCAATTTTTGCCGTTCTTTTGTGTGTAGATTTCCCCGCATGCGTTCTCTTCGTCTTTCCTTCTTACCTATCATTTTGGTTCCTCTCATTGTACATTGAAGAAACAAACGAGGGCCCAACCTGCCTAAAACCGAAGTAACATTATACAGATTTTTTAAGTAAGGCAGGTTTTAAAACAATTTGGAAATTTTTAGTTTTGGCCGAGTATGAATAAAATTAAATTTATTGCAACTCAAAATAATACTGCTGGTTCTTTATCCTTCATCTAGGGATCATATATGTCTGTTCTCTTCTCCTTGTCTGACAGGGTCCTCTTTAACCGAGTTCTGTGACTTTTGACATTGCAGGTCTGCGATTCTCACTTTGCTCAGGGTGACCCAAAGGCGACATCACGCCAGATATGCTGAGCTGCACTGCGGGGAACCACTTACGAATGATGCTTTTCTTTCTCCTCGATGCCTTGCCCTCATCCAATGGTCACCATTGTCGAGGGACATCGAGTATATTTACCGAAGACAATCCTGTTTGGCTGCGGAAGGTTCCATTCGAAGACTCACAACAACGTCCGTAAGACTAGGTTGATAATAAGAAAGAATGGGAAGTGGTAGAGGACTTGGTCGCGCACAGTTGCTTTCTCTTAGAAAGTGTGTTCTACGTCATTCATCTAATTGAATTACCACAAGTAAGTTTGACCCTAGAGATAATGCGAATAGGTATTCTCATTTATTTGATGTTTTTATGTAAATATCTTGTACTATTTTTAAACAATTATATCAAATATATTTTATCCCGTACTCCTTCGTACATTTCATCCCGTTTTTTATTATTTTTCACCTATTTTTTCTTAATTTTACACAGTCATTTACATATTCTTTGACTTCATGTGTGACCATTCTCTTGTTTTGTATTCCAACACCTTTTAGAATTTTATTACAAAAGGGACACTGTGGCATTGAAATTATATCTTTTTAATTGTTTTTCGTCTTCTCTCTTCTCGAGTTCGGGTATGTTTTACCCTTATTTCAGGGCTTCACGTTCCTCATTGGAAATTCTTTGAACTTTGTTTTGCATTTTGGTTGTGAGTGTAGTAAATAATTCAAAACCATTTTAATACTTTAGTGCTTTTAGCATTCGTAGAGTCAATATTCTCTTACTAACAACCTAGTAGAAACAAAGGCATTTCAGCGTGAATACTCTTATTTAGTTGAAATGAAATAAAATGATTTCACTATTGTGAATGATTTATATAGTGCAACACGGATAATAACATACCATTAAAAATGATTTATTCTGACGTTAATCAATTTTTATTTAGATAAAGGATACTGCATAGTTTAATTTACATAATTCATTTATTCAACCTTTTATTTAAAATGTAAGTGAAAGAAGTTACAGTTTTGAATGCATTAAAGCTATTTGTGTTTCAAATATAAGTAGTTTGGAAAATTGGATATTTAAGGGAAACATTTTCTCCTTTATATCCCAACTATATTGCCAATTGATTAAAATGCTTTTCCTTAATTTCATTTGAATAATTTTCAAAGAATCAAAGACGTTCAGTAGTCTGCAATGTCACATGAAATGCCCGGTGAGTAATTTGTAATACGTGCATCCAATTCAGCTTTCTGAGAATAAACTCACACGTGTGCTTCACGACTGTCCGGCTGCGGTTCAAAGTCGCGAAGCAGATTCATCGCGTCATCCACTCGCGGGAAGGCCCTGAGGCACACCGCCTCCCCCGCCTCCCCCGCCGCCCTCGGCCCCGCGGGCGCGCTCCCCTCCAGGTATTTATCTGCAGGCGCCCCATCACGCTCCCGCTCCTTACACCCCCTCTTACCCCATCTGATATGTTTATTGGCGCTACTCAGCTCGAGCTCCCCCCTTCCCTCCCCTCGCGCGCTCTCCGTCCTCATCTCCGTCCCCTCCCCTGGCATCCAGTCCTCTCTCCGCATCGCCGGCTTACGAACCCTCTCCAGACGGCGGACGGCTCTTTCTCAGCCCCCCCCCGCTCAGCGTCCGCCCACGCGCCCGCTCGCGTCTCTCATTAACAATTCAACTTCATTAATCAAACAAAAGTCGTGTAAAACGGCGTCGGCGGTAATTTATCAGCACGCAGTTTGCTGTAAATTACGTTCGAGTTATCTGGTTTACGAAGACTGAAGAGAGACATATTGAACCTCGGCGAGATATTGCCAGTTTCTAACCCTGGAGCCTCCCTGTGATGTCCTGATGCGAGTTATAAATTTTTACTCTCTGAACAACGAAGGCCTCCCTTGAGGGTCTTCAAATTGGTACTTCTCCCTCCCAGACAGCTCGAATCTTTTCTCTGGAATTCAGCCATATTTTTAAAAGAGCTCGTATAACTTTGAGATCTCAATATATTGTAATAAAATGCCATTTTATAGTATTTCTCTCCTGATATGAGCATTTACACACATTTGCCCTTCTATATATAAATTTTATCACTTCTCCAAAACACCAGATGTAACCAAATTTATCAGATTCACTCAATATGAAATATGTAGAAAATCGAGAAAATATATCACTCTGTAATTATAGGTTAAAATCAACTTGCCTCGAGCTGGTCTAAGTTACCAATGGAAGGGAAGGAGAAAAGCAGTGAAACGTGTGTTTATTATAGTACATTAATTACTTTGATTTCTGAAACATAACTCGCTGAAATTAGGTATGAAAATAGTACGTATGTTATTCAATGACAGAATGGTCTTTGAAACAAATGTTACTTATACAACATAAAAGTTGCCTACAGATCACATCATGCATCAAATCTGAACTAGTATTTTCAAATTCAAGACTTTTGCAAACAAAACATTTATAGAGACCAATTTAACTAGTATGCTATTTTAATTGTTAGGTTGAAGATTAATATAACTTGAATTTTGGCTAAATTGTTACTTAAATACTTTAGCTCCAGGCCACCCAACACGTTATATTTGTGACGACAAAGTTTCCCCATTTCTAACAGCAGTGACATCTAGTCAGAAGAACCGTGACCTGCTTATGAGACTACTTATTAGTTATTATATATTTATTTTGTTATTAATGCAGGTTATATTGATGGAAACAGGTGATTCAGTTTTACCTTTTTAGCAAGAAATATACAGTACGTATCTCCTCGTAAACAACAAAAAAGTCAATGAACGACTTCATATAAATAATGTATAAAACGAAAGAAACATAAATAGCCCCAGAGAAACATTTCGGCCAATCATTTCAGAGAGTATTGGAGACTCAATGCAAATACCCACAGTAAGAACTTCCCGAGACATACGCATATTCATTCAGAAGCCTTCCACGTTTACATATGCACAGCATTTCTTCCTTTCCTGCAGCTTACGGTGGCGGTGTGCGGACGGGTGGTCTGCGTGTTCTATTTAACTCGTCATAATCTCTCTGGTCTCGCCCGGCCCTGTTGCCTCGTCGCTCCTCCCCCCCGCGTCTTCCTCCGTTCCCAACTTCTCCACGTCTCTACTCTCGTAAGACGTCCTCGGTCCGCTCCTCCCGTTCCGCCTCCCGCCGCGCCCGCCCCCGCCGCCCCCGCCGCCCCGCCGTCCTTCCACCCACGCCGCCCCATCCCCGCCGGCCGCCCTCGCCTTCCCGCCGCTTCGGCGCCTCGCCGCCCCCTCCCGCCCCGCCGCCTCCCTCCCCCTCCCCCGCTGTCCCCGCCACAACTGCCGCCACCCCCACCGCTAGCGCCATCTCCACTTCCATTTTCATCGCCGGTCCAACCACCACCGCCCCGCCTCCAATGTATTCCCGCCGGCATCGATATCCTCCCCCGCAAGCGACAGCGGCGGCGGCGTGCCCTGCGGCGTCGCGCGAGGCAGTGTGTGGAGCGGATGGGAGGGGGAGGGGAGAAAGGTCAACCAGCAGGACAAAGGGGCGGAGCGAGGAGGGTCGGAGGGCAGCGTGCCGACCCCGCCCACGCGTGCCCCGCCGCGAACCCTTCGCCCTATGCCCCCTGAGCCGCGCAGTGCTCTCCAGCGCCGTCGCTACCTGCCGGACAGCCCCGCCCACCTCTCGGCGACTTCTTCTTTCGGAGTAGGGATTTCTTTTCCGTAGTTGTCTGCTTATTGGAAAACAGCTCTCTTATGAATTTTGCTTGTGTAGTTCCCGGAAACGTAGTCCTCTGATGCACCACTACTCGTCAGTTCAAGACACTCACAAGTCAGTTCAAGTCACTATTCACTGTGGAATTATATTATATTTTCACAAGAGAACTACCACTGATCGTAATTGTATGCTTTTATCAATGCAGCAGAAAATCAATACCTTAATAATCAAATAATTAAGATAGGTGCAAAGTTTTTAGCAAACTCTTTATTCGATAAATGGATCCGGAAATACTCCTCGAAGAGGGACAGAATAATTAATTCCCCTCCGTGTAATATTAATAGGAACATTGTTCAGAAGTTTTCAAGGCGTGAATAATTCTACGGATGTTTTTCTTTTTTTAACACTGAAAGAAAATTTCGGTAGATATTTTGATAAATTTTAAAGCAGTTTTTTAGCTTCTTAAATATTGCATCAACTTACGCAGCTGTCTACAAAGGGAAACATAATGAGTACTTTTACGGTGTTTCACTGTGCTTTTTGGACACAGCAAATCAATATTCACACTGCTGATACTAGTATAATAATCTACTTCTACTAATACTAGTATAATAATCATGAAAACAATAAAAATAATGTATTACCTTATTACATGTGGCATTAATTGCAATTTGCTTATTTTATATGCATTGATAGGGTTATAAATCTTTTGGGAATTAAGTCTTGTGTGACGTCTTATACTAATACTATTTTAATTTTATTTTTCAAAAATGGTGAAATATTCCGTACCGTCTTCCCATTCTAGATCTTTTAAAATACTACTTAGCGGAATTTATCACTAAGAAAACATGTGCTATTAAATTATAGATTTTAACAGGTGGTTCGCAAACGCCTGAAATTCGCGAATTCTATATTGCAGGTGCATGAGAATGCCTTTGTTATGCCGGAATTTTAAATTTCAAATACATATACACTTATCTGAAATATAAATATATAGGATATTAAATGTAGTGTCCGAATGACGCCACGTACTTCCACAATCGAACCAAACACTGGATTTTTTTAGAAAGAAATATTTAATAGTTTTTCAATGTTTAATCTTATCTTAGAATTCAACCATATTGTTAATAAACTTGTTTGTGATTAGATTATTTCTTTTCTTCCCGTTATATTATACAGTAATAGAGTTCCACAATATTTCTGCGGAAACCATCGAGTTTATGAACCTGTTGGTATTAATTAAATTTAATGTGATCCGTTTTGTATTCATCTTACACATGAATGAGATAATTTTGTATGCATTTTTTTGTAACCTAAACTGTCACAAAGGTTTCAGTAGTATTTGTCACCAGGTGTTTTTCGTTTTTGTTTTTTCTTTAAGAAATTCTTTGCAATACGGTAAACAAATTTCAATCAAATATACAATTTAAATTTGTTTGAAACTAATGTTTGCGCCGGGTACTGATCAATTTATTTCGACTTTTAGAAATGGTTTACGAAGTCTATAACGTTGGGAAGTGTAGGTCTATATCCACAGGAAAATACATTTTAACACTTGCGTCGTATTTACTATCTAACTTCTCTCTTTGGACATACATATAAAAATTAAATTATAAAACTCAGAATTCACAGGAGAGAAACTAGTTTCCATGACTGGAGTAACAATGAAAAGTGATATTAACATGATAACATTTCATCCCACATTAAACTTACATATTTTTATTCATTTTAAAAAAATGATTTAAAACAATCTTTTTGTTTCACCAACATTTTTACTATAGTATTTTTTGCATTTTATTACAGCCTGAAGATGGGGCTATATGTTTCCCTGAAACATCGCTATTAAGAAAGTCGCTTATTAAAAAGCTGTTCTTGTGTACATTTTTAAAAACTAAATCACTACTTTGTATTCACAATGGTGAACTGAAGCCTATTAGGTAATTTTTAACTTGTCAAAAACAATATAACGGTCAAACAAATACGTAAGTTTAAATTACATGAACAGATCATTACAGGCAACAATCAATTAAAAACGTATTCCTTCCCAATTACATTTTTTGAAATTCGATTCAGGTATTCTCCAACTTTTACAATTTATTATATTTCAAGGGGATAACACGGTTCAGTTTTTATTTCTTTCTCACATGTTTTGGTGATTTAAGTCTTACAATTAACTGAGAGGTTGTGGAAACCTACTGAAGTACTTCTGAAATTTTAATTATTGTGTTATGTGTCACTTCAAATCACACATATTGCTGGAACATATTTTTTTACGAGAACAAAACAACGAATCAAATCAAATCGAATCGAGTCCGCAATATACAACCAGTTATCCATTCTTATTTCAGACGTTAAATCAACAACTCTAACGTTAACGTTTTGTAACCCGAACATATTTTCGTTCTTTAGTTTTTTAAACATTGACGAAGTTGGTACGAATTTTGAAAACCACCAAAGAAGCCAACCACACCTATAAACGTTTTAACTATAGTAATATTTGAATCGTATGGAACTATTTTTTTGTTCTATGATACACAATATATTTAAAAAAATAATATTTAAGAAACTCGACGAACCTTCCCCAAATCAAATAAATGTGCCCCCTAAAATATTCCTTTTTAAAAAAATGTATTTAACCATATCAGTGGGATTATCAAAATACAGGTGAGTGTTAGCTTCTATGTATGTAATATAATGGATGGATGCATTACAGTGTCCTGAAGGTTCGAGTAACTGCAAATTAGCACTCCATCAAACCACTATTTCTGAGCGTGAACATTCTCACTGGATACCTCTATGTCTAATGTTAATTTTATTAAATTGTAGGTAAGAGGAAAGCAAGATATAGAGTGGGGGACGAAATAATTATTTTTCTACGTTATGGGGGACGGAAAAAGATATTTTGGGAGACAGAATTTAATTCTTGTAGGAGCAACGCTAATTTCACCCGAGGTTAAAGTGAGTGGGGCGAGGGGCTGTTTGTAGGTTAGGAAAAAACTTGTCCGACAGTGAGGAATTGCAATTTTTTATTGGGTTGTGTACGAAGTCGTGTGGACCACTCATCTCTATGACTATTGTTAATTTTATGAAATTGTAGGTAAGAGGAAAGCAAGATAGGTTAGAGGTGGTGAAATAATTATTTTTTTTAGGTTATGGGGGACGGAACAGATCTTTTGGGAGACAATTTTTAATTCTTGTAGGATCAACTCTGGGTTAAAGTGAGTGGGGCAAGGGGCTGTTCGTAGGTTAGGACTGTCTGATGCAATTTGTGATTGGGTTCTGTACGAAGTCGTGCGGGCCACTCACCTCTAAGACTATTGTTAATTTTATGAAATTGTAGATAAGAGGAAAGCAAGATATAGTGTGGATGGTGAAATAACTATTTCTCTAGGTTATGGGCGTAGGAACAGATCTTTTGGGAGACGAAATTTAATTCTTGTAGGAGCAACGCTGGGTTAAAGTGAGTGGGGCGAGGGGCAGTTCGTAGGTTAGGAAAGAACTTGTCCGATGTCATTTGTAATTGGGTTGTGTGCGAAGTCGCGCGGGCCACTCACCTCTATGACTATTGTTAATTTTATGAAACTGAAGTTAAGAGAAAAGCATGATATAGAGTTAGAGGAGAGAGAATTATTACTCTAGGTTATGTGGGACGGAAAATATATTTTGGGAGACGAAATTTAATTCTTATAGGAGCACCACTGAGTGACTGGGGCGAGGGGCAGTTCGTAGGATAGAAAAGAACTTGACCAACAGCGAGGAAATGCAATTTGCGATTGGGTTGTGTACGTAGTCGCGCGGGCCACTCACCGTGAGCCGCTTCTCCGGGTTGACCTCGATCATGCCGCGCAGCAGGTTCTGGCAGTCGGGCGGCACGAAGTGCGGGATGTGGAAGACGCCGCGCTTCACCTTCTCCAGCAGCTGACGCAGGTTGTCGTCGTCGAAGGGCAGCGCGCCCACCAGCAGCGCGTACAGGATCACCCCGCACGACCACACGTCCGCCTTGCGGCCGTCGTACTTCTCGCCCTGCGCACGCGAGCCAGCCAGCCGCCTTCGTCAGTCGCGGCCCAAGCCAGGGGGCACGCTACGCGCGGTCAGTAAACACTCACGTGCAAAAGAAGGTTAGAAATAAGCAACTCAATCCCAATAAAAAATGAAGAAAAGAAGAAAACAACAACAGCAAACTAAAAACAAACAAGGATCACTGGATAAACACAATAAAATAACAGGCGATGATTCCAGTTATAAGTTTAAAATTCTATTTAAACAGGCAGACATTTCGATATCTTTTGCGAGATCTTCTTCGGACTAAAAGTCTCGCAACGGTCAAATATTTTAGGAAAAGCATTTGCGAGCGAAAATATATAAAAAGAAACTATTTCATTATGTTCAGAAATCTATTCAATGAGACAAAACATGACCTCCCCAAATTATCACTCCCAGTGATGCGGCGGGGGACAACTTTGAAATTTTAAATGGAAACACCCATTTTTATTGTTAATAGTTATTTAGTTAGTAGTAATAAATACCAGATTCATGTGTGAAATTTATTCATTTGAATAGTTGTACTGAACTGCAAGAGCACAACCCGTGCAGAACTTCCCTAGGAAATCAGGAAGCTCACCCTTAAGGGATTAACTGAATCATAATTTTGTTTTCCGATTCGATGCGTATTTCTCGAGATATTAGACAGTTTCCATAACCTTATTAGAGTATCTGGATAAATCGTATTTTTTCCAATTACAGCGTCAACTGTCAAGTATCGAAAAAACGTTTTAGACAAATCCTACATATTGTGGCGTAGAATTTGAATCTGCAATAAAATTGGGGGTTTACATTTAACATTTTGAAGTTGCCCCCTGTCTCACCTTCAGGAGGTGATGTTGGGGTCATGTTTGATATCAATGAATTGATTTTTGAAAATTATTAAATAAGAATTTTGTTTATTTTTTGCTCGCAAATATTTTTTCTTAAGATATTTGACTCTTGCAGGACTTTTAGTTGCATCCTGTATATTCACGTTAAGCAAATCTAATAATACCCATTGCTGTTGAACAGGGCATACTCACTAACGAATCATGGTTTTCCCATGTATTATTACAACTAAAGAACACAATTTGGCAAAAGTGGGCACGTAACCAATCATCAAGAGATTATTATTTATTATATAAGAATATCAAGAAATTATTATTACTCGTACTTTAAAGAGAAATAAGATAATCCTGCAGGTGACTGATTGCCATTTGCACGTTCTACGCTTGTACCCGCGCTTACATATTACAAAAGGTAGTCACTAACAGAGAAGCACAGCCACAATCTATTTTCTTTCCTGTGGGGTTTTGCCGGTGGTTTAGGAACATAAAACTTCACACTGAATTGTTGTTTGTGCATCTTTATCGACTCGGTTTTCCAGTGTGTACTGCAGATGAACACTCGTCATTCCCTTGCTCGCAATAAAAAACACATATTGTTCGCCACAAAAAAACACATATTACTCTCCATAAAACAAGTCACATCAACTGAACAGTAATTCGAAATCACAAAACCAAGCGATCCCATCAGATTCAAAAACACTGCAGAGAGGAGAACGTGAAACTATTTTTCTCTTGGCGATGCATGGAGAGTTGGATCACCACTCTTGTCTTTCTGTAAGCACTTAAAATAATTGCTATGAGGTCACAATGGCCATCGTTAGTTAGGCCGTGTCTGTAGAATTTCAACAAGAGATACAACGTTCGTTGGTTTAAGCGCTGTCAAATATTTCAAGCCGAGAGGCAGAGAAACAACCTGTGTTGCTTATCTGTGTTAATACTGGCAAAACCTCACAATTGAATCTGGCCCTAAAGAATGGCCATAGCCATAACACTATGGAGTCAGTTTTTATTACCAAAAGAAATTAATAAAATAGAAAATTCAACCGTCCTCTCTATATCTAACTTCTGCATCTACAATCTGTCTCTCAACGAAGTGTACTTGCTCTGAGAGTTCGCGCGCAGCTACGACATACTACATGATTAACATTTCTGCGCAGTATGTTGAGTCTCCAAAGAACAATTAGCGGGCGCGCGCGTAAAAGTGGACAAGTGAAGTTTCTGTCCAAAATGAGAATGCCAGGCCATTGATTTACAACGATACTATCATTGTGTATAGGGGGATAAGTGACATTTCTATATTGCCATTAGCATTTAATAGCAAAATTGAAATATCACGAATCCCCGTACAAACAATAATAATATTGTTCGTAGTAACGCAGTGTCCTAGCACACTCATTTTGGACAAAAACTTCACTTATCCCCTTTCACAAGCAAACCCTCTAATTTGTGTACTAATATTTAACAAAAATATGTGGTGTCTATTAATGGAAGTTTAAATATCAAACAATATAAAATTTTATAGTCACTACAAGTTTTTTCAAAAGAAAACAAAATTAAAAATAAATTTTCCTTTCCAAACGTAATAAAGAATTGGGGTACTATCCGAACAAAGAAAACGATTAACGGAAACTTTTGATGATTCATTAGATGGATAAGAAGAAAACGTTTTCTGTTCAGTTACTTACATAACGACATGTAAAATTATTTATTTAAAATATCTTTATATATTTCAATACTGCAATAAGTCTCTGCATTCTTCTACATGACTTCAAAGTTGCGCCATAAAACGTCTACAGATGGATCAAGAGTTAAAGAACCGCAGAAGCTGACCAGCTATACGAAGGAAAAGTTCTCGCAAGCAAAAGATTTAGAGAAAGCATCTCAGAGATGCACTACGCGCAATGCGGGCTGGGCGAATGTTCACCAAAAATGAATTCTGATCGATCCAGCTCAAGGCGCAGTGCGGCATCGCATAAGGATAACGAGTCGGCCGCCCCACCCACTGAGACGGCACACGCAGATGAATTGCTTCGGGCGGATAAACTACGTAGCACTCATTTTCGTATTAAGTGGGCAAAGTGGTTGTTTTTCATGATCGAGATGGGTTTTTTGTCCGAGACCGTATCAATTGTAGCCCGTTGGTAAAAAAAATCAATTTTGACCTTGAAAAACACATTCACCTTGCTAACGAAAAATTTCAACTGTATAAAAATTGTATTTAAATAATTGATAGAAAGCAATATTTTCTTTATGACTTTTTGGCTGTCCGGGTGACGCCGCGTCGTTGGCTCAGATTCCAGCCAACAACGCGGCATCACTTAGACAGCCAAAAATCCATGAATTCGAGCTGCGGAAGCTGACGTGCACAAGATTTTCTCTAGGATTTTCAAGTTACACCTATTCCAAGCACTTACAAGATATGCGAGAAAATCGTAATTTTTCACGTTTGTTTTTTCACAGTTAAGTTTAAACAAGATATATCATTTTCAATTGTTCATTATAACAGTTATATTAAATCATTTTGCTAATGATTTTGTACATTAATTATTTAATTTAACCAAATCTGAATAATATGAGTACCTATGTACGAAATTCAGCATTCTTCCCCCGCATTGAAAGTCTCCTTTATAATGTTACGCTAATAATACAAATGAAGCAATTATTTCATTGTTAATTCCGAAAAGCATATTAGAAAACGAATGATTTTTATAATCTCGTTAATTTACACTAAAACAAACGAACACTTACACTAGCCTTACGGGCATATAAGATACTGAGTTGACTGTATGATAGTGGCATAGGGGAGTTGTGGTGGGAGACATTGTCATTTTTTTCGATTTACGGTGATGCGTGGCGTGGCATATACTTTTAATTTTACGTCGAGGTAGAACATTTCTGAAACGCAAACCAACACAAAAGAAATTCCGCATTGTCGCAACCAATTTTTGAGTAGCCTTATTTTAAAACCCGTAACCGAGAAAACATGAAGAACCACAAACTGCAAAACGCTGAGTCACTCCCGCCTGGGCGCAGTGTGGGGGAATGTCAGAGAATAAACACCACCGTGTTTGCTATGCGCCCGCCATTCATACTATATGCGGTGTGGGTTGGGAACGGGAGAGTAAACAAGGGTCCAGGTGAAAGGAACAAGGGAAGGGGAGCTGGAGGAAATTTCGCAAAGGCAGAAAAGGATTAAAATTTCAAGAAAGACAAGTGCAACCGGCGCCGCGCAGCCCCGAGCTCAAGATCAAGGGAGCACAGTGGCAAGTGAACTGAAGGATCTTCACTCACAAGAAAGGGACCTCTGAAAGGAATTACTCTCCGGCATTATATATACAGAGTGTCTAGGAAGGAAACGTCGAAAATAAGCGAATCTTAAGTCAATTTTAAGCAATTTTTTTTCTAAAATACTCCTAGGATATTCCGAATGGCTGAGCCGTAATAACCATTCAATAGATGGTTTGAAAAAATATTTTCTTCACAAAAATTTGCATTTCAGAAACATATTAGCCCTTCAGAATCATGTAAATTGGTTATTATTTACAAAAGAAAAATTATTATATTTGTTTACAAAGAAAAATTATCCCCACGGTAAAAAATGCTGTCGAATATAGTAAATGGGATGAGTATATATAAATATATTGATTTTAATTTAATGTTTTCTTATGCTTAAGCTAAAATATCAAAACAATCTTAAGGTTATGTTTCATGTGCCCTGAGGATGAATAAATCAGAGTGGATACGTTTGGTGGCGTAATGGCTAGAGCATCCGTCTGCCTTCTGCCGCTGGGGCTTTGGATCGTTCCACAACCAATTCACGTGGAGTTTCTGGTGAACAAAGAACTGTCGGCATGTTTTCTCGAAATTCCCCTATTTTCCTTGCCTCTGATTCCATTTTTGATTCATCATCATTCACCTCAATTCCATTTTTCCTGTTTCTTCTAATTAAATCATCGCTTTCTACATTAGTTGGCGTCATGACTTCAGATCATTCTCAACGACAGATGTAAAAGAGCCTTTACTCATTAATAAAAACACGGAAATGTCAAGTATGTCAACAATCAAGTTCGGTTCCAGCGCAGTCCTAATAAAGCGAACTTATTTTCTTAGGTATTGTTCGTAAAAAGATGTCTCAATTCCTATTATTACATG